CCCACATAGGTCATCACAGACCATCCATTCAAATTCATTAAATAAGTTGGAATCAGCTAGCGATAAATCCAGGGACGAATATGTTCCCGTAGCTGGATGTAAATAAGTGGCTGAGTCGTCATTGAAAATGCATAAATTATTATCGGAGATGAATTCCTCAAGGATTTTGCCTTTATTATTAGTATGGACACTTCCCCAAAGCGGGTTGTGTCCGTTCAGGTCGCCCATGATAACACATGGCTTTGGAAGCTGATCATAGAGATTTTGAAGATCTGATTGTCGAATATTTGAAGAAGGAGGAATATACAAGCTGCACAGGGTCAATGCAATGTGCAGGGTTAAACGAACAACAACTGTCTGAAGATTTGTATTAAGTGGGACAGGGCTATGTATGACACCCTGCCGCACCAAAATTGAAGCACCTCCTGTTGCTCTATCTCCTGGAGGAGAGAATGAGTGGTAATCGCTGTACTGCCGTAAATCAAAATTATCTGTATTTTTAGATATGTCTCTTGGAGACATAATACTGACAGTCGAAAATCTTGAATTAGTAACTGTATTTCGTTAAAGTTATTTTTAAGTCCTCTGCAGTTCCACTGAATTATATTGGCCAACTGAGTCATGGTGGCTCAATTGGCGATCGTTCACGGGTATGTGAGGAGGAGCTATCCCTCCGCCTGTCCTGAGAGGACAGAGCAACCTCCATGTCTAGAGGTTCAAACGGGTTTTGAAGAGGAACCTCGGAAGGTGAAGAGACAATAGGTGGTTGTTTTCTGTTTAACTTTTCCTTTTTCTTGTTGGTTTGGTCAGTAGCTGGTTGAGAAGATGGCTGTGAAGCAGACGTCTTGGATGTCACAGGCTGAATTCAGTCTGAGATCCAGACGCAGTCTGAGTAACTTTAGAAGAAGGTGGAAGGGCTGACGCTGTAAGGGTAGGTTGTGTTGATTTGAGCCATGTGAAGTCGGTCTGACATGAAATGGAGGACGTTGCAACATGGCGTGTGACTGCAGTGACGTTGTTAGATGTAACAGCATGGGAATATAAAGTAGTTGAACTGGTTGGAAGAGGTACCAGCTTTTTAGCTTCAAAATATGAAATATTGTTAGTGCATTTGAGTTTCTGAATTGTTTGCTCACGATGATACAAGGGACAGGACTTGGAAGAAGCTACATGATCTCCTTCACAGTTTGCACATTTGATGGTATTAGTGCATTCAGTTAGGTCATGAGCATCACCACAACGGGAGCACACCGTATGATTGCGGCAGAACTTGGCTCCATGACCAAACCTTTGACATTTGAAACATCGGAGTGGAGTTGGCACATACACCTCTACTCCAATGTTAAAGTAACCAGCCTTTATGCACTTCGGAAGAGCCGAAAGTGCAAAAGTAAACAAGTATGTGTTCAGTTTAATAACTGTTCCATCCTCTTTCTTTTTTGAAAATCGCTTTACAGCGACTACCCCTTGATTCTGTAATTCAGTCACAATGTCCTCCTCACTCATGTCAGAAAAGACAATGAGCCCTGTCTCGTACTATGCCTCTGCAGGAATTCAGAGTCCTGTGTACAGAGACAACAACCGGTGTATTCACAAACTGTTTTAATTTCAACAGATTGTCCGATTGCTGCCTCCGTGTACATTCCACTAACAGAGAACCATTACGGAGTCGTGTTACATCCTTAACTTCTCCACAGACACCTTGTATGCCCTTGGAGATAGCGAAGGGGTTTAATTTTAAAGGATTTTCATTTGCAGATGTGATAACAATGAACCTAGGCCATGATTCAACAAATTCAGTAGATTCTTCATCAGAAGATGAAGATTCTATGCACCTACGTTTATGCTTTGAGGAACCAGATGGAATTGTAAGAGCCATAGTGTAGGGAAAGTGTTCAACATCCCTGCTCCCCACCCACCATGGAGTGTCAACAAGGACGATGGTACAGCGGAAACCAGCATGTTCCACCAGGGTTACAAGGATGCTATACTCCAGCAAATAAACACTTGAATAGCTGTCGAATCTAACAGAATAAATGTCAGACTGGTTCGCCCTTGACACCTTTCTGGAGAAACACAGAATTCAGAGGTCTCTATTGCCAGATTGGCCCATGAGCCACCGCCTTCTGGCATAGGACTCTAGGCAATTAAATGGATCAATAATTTATAAGTACAAATCAAAATTTCAATAGAACATTTTATTGATGACATTCATTTTAATCAATCACAATAGTGTTGAAAAATACACAATTTAAAAATGAATGTTTCCATGCGCAGGGCATGACGTGACCAGCCGATTGGTTGAACCGGGCCAGTTCAACCACCCGTCTAGGTGTGAGTAAGGGGCGAAGTGGTGTGTTGGGCAAAGGAACACTGTTCCTGGCCCCAGTGCCCTCAACCACCAGCCTCCCGTCCTCCACCGACACAGGGGCGCAACCCACGGCCAACAGGTTGGTGGACCTAATATCCCCCCGGGTCCACAACGGGGGTTGAAGGGCGCTTAGCGTGACCCAGCACCCCACCACGAGGAGGTGGCCCTTCATCATGGGTGCCTAATTCTACGCTGACTGGAATTCAATATACCCTATGCAATGTAAATAGAAAGCGCAGCTCGTAGGTAGGTCATCAACGTTAAGTCAAGTTATTTCTACTCGCGATTCTCCTCTCTTATATTATTTGTTAAAATATAAAGTCAAACTGAGAATTGCACAGAACATATTGATCAGTAAAACTCGTGTAATGTAATGTCAAGTCATGAAAGTCTTGCTTCCTTATGTGGATAAAGATGCGTTCATGAAACCAAATGTCATTTAAATGTCCTGAAGAAACATCATGTGAAATACAGGACTTCATAAACATTTCGACCAGAAATAGGCATGCCCATAGGCACTTATTGTGCTCCCCTGCTTGTGGTTCATTTTCTTTATGCATATGAATTAGAATTTCTGCTCGGGTTTGCTGAATCAGAGCAACGTACTTTTGTCAAAAAGTTAACTTAAGCTTCCGGTATAACGATGACTGTATATCGTCCAGTAGCAATAATCAATAGTCCTTCTTCTGATATCACACACACACGCACATGCACAAACAAAAAGAGTTTGTTTGATGACATGTGTCAACCAAGTTACCGAGCCTGACCACCCATATATAGATATATGCATAATGATTCAGGGTGACAAATCCTCTAATCAAGGCTGCATGACAAAAAGGGATGATTTCAGTTGTCAACTTTTCCTTCATGCTTCATCGAATATGCTCTTTTTACCAATACTTCCAAGAGATACTCTTCTCAGCTGTTCGTTCAAGTTACAATATCCATGGCATCATTGTTCAAACCATTTCATGACAGACGTGGAGGAAATTTCAAAATTTGTCCGATGCCCGATGCTATTCCCTATTTAGAGACTAGCAGCTGACTAGCCATTGCCTGTGTTTATGACGGGTGACACCTGTTGAGCTGGATACACCCATCTGGAGCACTATAGGTATCATCAATATATGATAGTGATTCATATGTATTTGTGGCAAGATATACTCTTACCACTGCCTACTCATTTAAAATTGATCTTTCTTCATTTAAATGTTCTAAACTCGTCTCCCGAAGCAAATCGTTTCCATCTGCATCATGAATAAATTTATAGCTTACCTGATGTTCTAAATTTCATAAAAATACAATTAACACAATTAATGAAAAAGTGAGGATGGACATGAGAAACAAAGAAAACAATATGGGCGACCTAACATTCTTTCATTGCAATGGCTGGCAGTATCTTTGCTTCGCTTTTCCTATTTCCTGTACCTATTACTGGCCCGTAATGCTGTGTAAAAAGCTGTCCTAAAGTAGAAACTTTAAAATATGTCTGTGTTATCAAAGCACCATCCACACAGTCTAAAAGTATGTTTTGTGGTAAACTGACATTGATATGGAATACACGTCGGGGCATCATCGCCTATTAAAAGGAAAGAATGGGTGAATTAAAAATGGCCTATTCGACAACATCTTAAAACAGCAGCATCTCTACAACACATATGATCGGTTCTCTCCATCATGTAGCTTGTTTGTGGTTTGTGTATCACGTTTCGATTTCCAGCAGTGATTAACATATTGCCTTATAACTTGCTTACAATCAGTATAAGGCATTGTCCACATTCTATGTGTGATGTCCGAGATTTCCATGTTAACAGTTTTGTATCTTATATTTCCAACGGTTTGGTTTACAGACGGAAGTACAGACGGAAGTGTATGATGAATATTGTTTCCACACTTGTCATTAAACATTTTCCCTTTAATAACCGCATACTGAATATTTTGATCGAAATTTAAAGGTTATAACAGTCACAAACAGGACCGAGATATACATATCCCGTAGTTTACACACATCACGTATTGGCAAGGCAGAGGCTCCTAAATTGAGACTCAAACATGGGCATTGGTTATTCCTAACATCCTATGCGTAATCCACGTTCAAAGACAAGAAATCTTTGAACCAGCTCGCCTGCGCTCTCAAGCAGGTCTCTTGGTACTTGGCTACTAGAATCAAAACAATCGATAAATTTACATATCTATAAGATAGAATGTTTCTACAGTTCTCATTGGTGTTTTGTGTATTCATCATGAACTGAATGGTTGCCAGTAGATATAAATGCCGGGACGATGATCAACAGAACAGAATGAATCGATCCTTACATGTTTATCAACTCGAAGAAACGTCTTTAAACTATAGACTTTCGCGATGCTTCAAGAAGGTTTATACCAACAGTTGCTTCCTGGTCTAATTCGTAAACTGGTGTTATTCATACTCAGTCTTACTTTTGTAGTCCACTACGCATCCCCTATTATAGTAACTACATACGGAGCTAAATGGACAAATTTCACAGATGTCGTCGTAAGGACACATATCATATCAGAAAGTGAGGGCATTGGAAGCAAATTTACTTGTGTGAGACTGTGTCTCGAGAACAAGGCCTGCATGTCCGTTTTCTACAGACACCAACACAGAATGTGTCAACTCCATGATGTGCTCTTCATGTCGCCGCAGGACGGAGACCCAGAGACTGGTACACTGTACTTCACCGTCGTTACAGGTGAGTGGATGAAAACAGTGGGTGAATGTTGTTTTACGCCGCATCAGAAATTTTCGAAGCGAGGGTTTGACTGATTTACTGTTGTTTAACGCCGCACTCAGCAAAATTATAACTGTATGGAGACGGCCCTGTAAGTAGTCGAGTCTGGACCAAACAATCCAGGGATAAACACGAGAACATCGATCTAAGCAACTGGGATACGATCGCATGTATCAACAAAGTCAGCGAGCCTGACCACCCGCCTCTTACGACAAGCGTGGGTTACTAAAGATCAGTTCTAACTAATCCGGATCTTCACGGGTCCTCTACTTGCACACACCCAGAGCAAATACGCTTTTCCGAGCCCTACACGAGTACAAAGAAATATATAACGATAGTTTGCAAAGAATGCACAATTTCTTTTAGAAAGTGGTCATCTAATCGCTAGCAAAGTCAGACGTCTAACCCGTTCAGCCACCGTGGTGCCTGACTCTGAGGGTGTGGGTTCGAGTCCCGAATGGGACTCAACCCCCCAAAAGTACTAGAATCTGTACTTTACTAAGAAAGTGTAATCCCAAATATAACATATGTTACAATAGATTGCAACTTAAATCACATGTGTATTTACTAACATAAGTATGTTATAGCAAACGTGAACAGCAATGTAAGTATGTCATATGTTGTATATCCTGTTTATGACAGGAATTATCCACACTTTGATAGGACGTAGTTATGTTATGTTACGTGTCAATATGTTTTAATATTGTGTACAATGTAGTTGTATATCACAGGAGTACAATGAGAGCAATGATGGCACGACCTCCCTTTCACTGGTTAGAAACGGCATGATGAAAGCTTGAGTTCCACTGACTGCAATTTGTTTGGTTTATTACAATGTATTCACTGGTGTGTTCAATGGATTCACAGATGGGTGAAATCACATATTAAGTGCCTGTTATGATTCATTGTCTCATGGATGACTGCACAAGTTCTAGTGGGTTGTGTAAAGCAATCACTGTGCTCTTGAGTAAAAACCTATAACCACCCGCCACACCACCATTAGATATTATTTAAAATATTTATCATTTGTTATGACACGGAGGCATTGATATAAACATACATTTCAGTGTGTTTGTTTATGTTTTTCTGTGTGTGGTTTCATTTGGGATTGAGTTTAAAAAAAACCCTGTAAACCGACATCCATCTAAACTGACATTTTTCACCAATCCCGAGCGATGTCGGTTTAGAGAGAGTCCACTGTATTTCCAATAGTATTTGTGACTACGAATAGATCCCAACATGAAGGTTTTGCGGCGAATTGAATAGTTTGTGCCACAAAATAATAGGATAAAAGCATGGAATTACTTATTTGCAGGAGAACATGTTAAAAACATCCTTAAACACGAACAAGGTCATGTCTGTTACAGGTGGATGTCCCTCGACCCATGCCCACAACCGAATTCTTAACTTCTGCTATGAGGTTCATTTCAATAGACTGAACTATGCCGATGGTGTCGCTGATTGTAACTCAAGAGGAGACCACTTCATCGTCATTGACAGTCAAGAGAAGCAAGACCACATGCTGAAGCAAATCACCGCTTCATCAGGTCAGTATCATGAGACTCACTAACCGCCTCACAATGAGAGAATGTTGGTTTGATATTTTATGTTACGTCAAAGCATGTCAGCTTTAAATGTAGGAGGCATGAGGAGATACAGGTCTTTGATAATTTATCCTCTTTCATGAAACTCATGATAGTGGAGGAAACCTTGAACCATGGTCATGACGAACCTGAACTCGCATTTACGGTCAGAGGTCTCTTGCACGCTATAAGGGGGACGGAATTGCAAAGCGTCAGGAGACACGGCTAGCCATACTCCTCTCCCTTGCGAATTCCAACATGTGCAACTTAGATGTAGACACATGTGCAAACGTTCTTACCTCGATAATGTGTTTAACTGTCCAACCACACTCCATTAACTGCCGAGGGGCGGTGGGGTAGCCTAGTGGTTAAAGCGTTGGCTCGTCACGCCGAAGACCCGGGTTCGATTCCCCACATGGGCACAATGTGTGAAGCCCATTTCTGGTGTCCCCCGCCGTGATATTGCTGGAATATTGCTAAAAGCGGCGTAAAACTAAACTCAGTCAGTCAGTCAGCCATTAACTCCCGAACAGGCAAACATTGGGTTGTTTGTTTAGTTAGTTATTTAACGCTGCACTCAGCAATATTCCAGCTATATGGCGGCGGTCTGTAAATAATCGAGCCTGAACCAGGCAACCCAGTGATCAACATAATGAGCATCGACCTACGCAGTTGGGAAATGATGACATGTGTCGACAAAATGGGCTACATGACCACCCAATTCCATCAGTCGCCTCTTACGACAAGCATCGGTTGCTGAAGACCCGGATCTCCTGACCCAGATGTTCGTGGGTGTGTCGACACTGAAAGGATCTACATGAACACTTCCGGGTCATCCGATATTTGACATAAATGATGACTGAAAAGTAATACGCCAATTTTATTATACTTCAAGACAACCTTATGTTCGACAGATGCAAGTTTATCATAACAATATTTGACTATTATGTTTCGTGTGTCCTTTAACAGTTTTCACTCACTCTGCCGATTGGTTAGGTGCCTGACTCTGAGATTGTGGGTTCGATTCCCGGATGTGACACTACCCAAAAAAGTTAATCTGGACTTTACTGAGGACGTGTAATCCCAAATGTAACATATGCGACATTTGGCCACTTTTTAATTGGGATGGCAGTGTGGCATCTGAAGGAATGGTGTAAATCCAGCTCGGGTCCATGTTGGAAGCGAAAGTATTGTAAAGTATGACTCGTTTTAGTTACGATATGGCTGAAATATTGCCGTTGTAACTTAAAATCGTAACTCACTCACTCAAACTAAGTGAAATAACACATGTAAAGGTGCTCACTCATAAACGATTTGTAAGTAGATATAACCTAACACGATCTGCAAAGAGCAACATGTGCTACATTCAAGAGTAAGTGATAGCATAAGTTTTGAAACAGAGAATGAGGTAACCAATTAGAAGCTTCTGTTAAAGGATTCACCTTAAAATACTTGCAGTTTCTTGAACAGTGTGTTTTCCTTCTTCAGAGGCTGTGGAAAAGAAATACCTGATCGATGGATCAAAAAACAATACTGGCGGAATTTGGCTATCCCACGATGGAACACCAATGACGTATTTTGCCTGGGTGCCCCCTTACCCAAAGAATTTGGCTAATCAGTTCTCTATCATCGCAGATCCAGGCGCGGACTTTCAGTGGGGCGACAAATCAGGGACATTACCCAAACGTTACATTTGTCAGAGGGATATTTGAATTAAATTACGTTTGTGACGTCATTTCATTGTCTGCTTGCTCCATTAGTTTCCAGGAAGGGAGCGATATGTACCAGTTTTAAATGTACGACTTTGTCAGTCCGTTTCAGTTTGACATTTAATTTCTATAACAAAAATATTACCAATATAACTTAGGTAGGGTAGTATCCTCGGATCCATTATTTTTAAGGAATGGAGAGTTAATCCCATACTGTGTGAGACTGGTATACCAGTGAAATGAACTGCTGGTTGTTTTTATATTGTATTGTTCTTAATCGTAATGTGTTTCTTTACTTAGAGATTGATGCGAATTATGTTAGAATATCACAGCAACTAAATTTATATGTGTTTGTACTGTTCTTTATAGACAGGTTGTTTTAATTTAACTGTATGATCATGAATGTATCAGTCTGCGTTTTGTGTTAGTCTGAACTGTTGCCGATGTGACTATAAATGTGAACTCACTCATTCATCCACCTGCTGCTCAACCCGTAAAGACCAAAGGCCCTCGTGTCTTTGCGAGGATTAAAGATATTTTATAAAAATATATAAAAATTTGAGATGAACCTCGACTCGAAATGCTTCACAGTACAAGACATTGTGTCATAAGGTATCGTACTGTGAAGCATTTCGAATCGGGGGTCATCTCAAAAACAATAGTTTTTTAACCCTTAATCCTCGCAAAGAATCGTGGGACGGTAGTAAAGACCCAGGTTAGCTTTCAGTAACCCGCGCTTGTCATAAGACGCGACTAAAGGGATCGGAGGGTTAGGCTCTCTGATTTGGTTGACACATGCCATCGTATCCCAATTACATAGATTGATGATCATCACTGGATTGTCTGTTCCAGACACGATTATTTACAGACCGCCAACATATAGCTGGAAAAACATTTTCATTTCTGTCTAAATCCAAGAACAATTCTCAATAGCTAAAGGGATGGTGAAATTCCAGCTAGGGGCCTTGCACATAGCAAAATTACTGTGAGTCCCCATTGTGCCTAGTATGGTGATCTACCTTCAGTTGTTGGCGATCTATAGCCTGTTTTCATATTGTCTTGTCATTTGTTACGTAGTTAAAATGTTTTAGGTTTAATTTCTAGTTTTAAATTCGTATCTGTGATAATCTAGTTGTGTTTCTAATCCTTGACAACAGGTGTTTTTTTTAAAATTCTATTGATATTTAGTTATAATATAATTAACTGACCTAGTCACGATATAGCTGACATATTGCCGATAAATATTAACTCATGATCATTCACTCATTCACAGTATATTTCATAAATGACTTCAGATAAATCAAAAAATATTTGGAGACAATGCACAACGCCAACACACAAATAAAAAGAGATCAATCAAGGTTTTGGAGTATTTTTTATGTGGCGCCGATATATGAACGCTTCAAGTTAATCGCAACATGTTGTATCTTTGCTCTAAATGATGTTGGCCGGGTTTTAGTGGAATTTTCTGTACATGACATCGTATCCAAATTGTGTAGAGCGATGCTCATGATGTCAGTCACTGGATTGTCTGGTCCACACTCGATCATTTACACAACGCCGTCTCGTTGGAATATTGTTGAGGGCGGCGTCTCGCTGGAATATTGTTGAGTTCGCCGTCAAACAAACCACTTGTAAATGTTTATGAGAAGATTCAATAATATGTCGTTATTTTACTAACGCTTCACTGATGTAATTACCTGATGTCTTGTTTTACATTATATTCACATGAAATGTAACATAAGTCATGTACATTTGCCTCCAGGGCCAGACTTTTTGTCATATTATTTGCTCTGTTTCTCCAGTTTTTGCATTCCTGGGGGTTTCTTCCTATATCCTCGAAGAGATGTTATGTTTGAAGTCTCTGCACATATGGTTGAACTACCAACTACTGGTAAGGGGTAAGGATTACACATGTACACATACAATAGTTCACTTATACATTAAAATACTCAACTACGGAACTCCCCGAATTACAATGTAAAATTACCAGAAAGTAGATCAGTACAAGGGAGGTAATAACGACATTAGTTCAAGTGTTTTATTGTCTCCCGAATGCCCTACGTGTCTCATAAAGGAGAGAGGGAATGAGGGAGGGAGGGAGCGAGAGAGAGAAGCAGGCTAATCGTAAATACATAAATTGAGAGAGTGTGTGTCCATTCTACACTGAATAATATTAGAACTTGGGGTCGGGTGATAATTAAAACTCTGTGAGACACGCTGGAAAATGATTTCAATCTTCAAACGTGTCTTAATAATATAACAATATCAACGGGTGGGTGTTAGCCGGTCATACCCATGAGGTCTATTATTGACTTAAACTCTTCATAGAGTACTTTAATTTCGTTACCGTGAAGATCCGGTTTAGAATTGTTCCTCAGTAACCCATGCTTGTCATAAGAGTCGACGAACGGGATCTGGTGGTCACGTTCGCTCACTTGGTTGACACGTGTCATCTTATCCCAATAGCTCATGCTGTTGCTCGACCCGTGAAGATCCGGGGTAGAATTCAGCAACCCATTCTTGTCATAAAAGGCGACTATGCTTGTCGTAAAAGGCGACTAACGGGATCGGGTGGTCAGGCTCGCTGACTTGGTTGACAGATGTCATCGGTTCCCAATTGCGCAGATCGATGCTCATGCTGTTTATCACTGGATTGTCTGGTCCAGACTCGATTATTTACAGACCGCCGCCAATATTGTTAAACAAACAAACAACCATAGATAACAGATTTGCACGACCTCCTGGAGGATTACACTTTGTTTACGATATTGGGTTAGTATACCCTTGTGATTCACACCAGGTACACGGTCATATTTTAACTACACATTACATACTGAAGGATGTCCTAGTGGCTTGTGATTCCTGAAAGGAGTGCAATATGTGAGCCGAATCTCTGTTTCTCAAGCTTTGAGGCCGAAATGTGTTCATTGCCTGGAGGGGCGGTGGGGTAGCCTAGAGATTAAAGCGTTAGCTCGTCACGACGATGACCCGGGTTCGATTCCCCACATGGGTTCAATGTGTGAAGCCCATTTCTGGTGTCCCCCGCCATAATATTGCTGGAATATTACTTCAAGCGGCGTAAATCTAAACTCACTCACTCACTCATTCCCTTGATGCAGTAATGCTACAGCTTTCCTCTATACATACGTGACAACGAAAAGACAGTCGAAACCGACATCGCTCGGGACTGGTGAAAAATGTCGGTTTAGAGGTTTTTGAAAACTCAATCCAAAATGAAACCACACACAGACAAAATTAAACTAACGCAACGAAATGAATGTTTATATCAATGCCTCTGTGTAATAACAAATGATAAATATTTTAAATAATATCTAATGGTGGTGTGGCGGGTGGTCAGAAGTTTTTGGTCAAGAGCACAGTGATTGCTTAACACAACCCACTGGAACTTGTGCATTCATCCATGCGACAATGAATCATAACAAGCACTTAATATGTGATTTCACCCATCTGTGATTTCACCCATCTGTGAATCAATTGAACTAAACCAAACAAATTGCAGTCAGTGGAACTCAAGCTTTCATGATGACGTTTCTAACCAGTGAAAGGGAGGTCGTGCTGTCATTGCTGTCATTGTTATCCTGTGATATACAACTACAGTGTACACAACATTAAAACATACTGACACGTAACATAACATAACTATGTCCTTTCAAAGTGTGGATAATTCCTGTCATAAACAGATGGGGTGAGGTGAAATTGGGTTTAACGTCGTGCTTGAAAATATTTCGCTCATATGACGACGTGCATGCGTATGTGTGTGCGGCTGCTTGTACTAGCCCAGACTTAAGCTGGTTTTATAGTGCTAGCCCACTGAGATACCATGCCGCAGTGAAGCATGAATACCCCACCCAGACACATTATACTGACTCCGAGCCGACCAGTCCTTCCTGTAACCATTAATGCCGAACGCCAGGCAGGGACCAACAAGTACCATATTTTAATGTATTTTGGTATGACGCGGTCGGGGATCGAACCCGCGACCTTCCGCTCTCCGGGCGGACGCTCTAACCACTACACCACGGAGGCAGTCGTCATAAACAGGACATATAACATATGACATACTTTCATTGCTGTTCACGTTTGTTGTATTAGACTTATATTAGTAAATATACATGTGATCTAAGTACATGTGAACTATTGTGACATGTTATATTTGGGATTACACTTTTTTAGTAAAGTACAGATTCTATCGTTATACATTTCATTGTACTCGTGTAGGTCTCGGAAAAGCGTATTTGCTCTGGGTAAGAGCAAGTAGAGGACCCTTGAAGATCCGGATTAGTTAGAACTGATCTTCAGTAACCCACGCTTGTCGTAAGAGGCGACTAACGTAGCCGGGTGGTCAGGCTCGCTGGCTTGCTTGATACATGCCATCGTATCCCAGTTGCGTAGATCGATGTTCATGTTGTTCATCACTGGATTGTCTGGTCCAGACTCGAGTATTTACAGACCACCGCCATTTACATGGAATATTGCTGAGTGCGGCGTAAAGCTAAACTCACTCACTCCTTGAAAACAAATAGGTCGCCATTAGTTCCGGTTTTTCGTCAAACAGTTCGACCCTTACCCGAAAGCACCATTACGGCCCTGCTAAATTGTGTTAGTGAGTGTGTTTAGTTTTACGTCGCTTTTAGCAATATTCCAGCACGGCGGGGGAACACCAGAAATGGGCTTCACACACTGTACCCATGTGGCGGCCCTACTAAAGGTATTCAGGTTTTGAAGATACTCCGATACGTTTCTGTATTTTGACTTTGGCTAGGGTATATTTCTGCGAACAGAGAAGTACCATAGGTTCGGGACCAAGATCGTCACGGGGTTTACACGTGTATTGCCATGGTCATCCCGTTGTAGTCATTTGTATTGATTTCTGAACTTTGATGGTTTTCTTTCACGCCTAGTTCTTTTGTAGACTCATTCCCAGTGAACGTCACAGTTTAAACGTACGTGGAAATCAACTCATGCGTGTCGCAAGACGG